ATATATATATATATATATATATATATATATATTTTATCACGTGCTTGCTTCAGTGAAAAAAAGGTACACACCAGTTAGACACAGCATTACAACCACCTATTTAATGTTCAATAAGAACTTCTTCACCTGAAAAAAAAACAACAAAAAAAAAAAAACAATCCTGATGTGTTAAAGTATAAAATCTGCAAGACTCCTGATTGTATAATACAATTTCTTATTATGAGGCTTTAGTAGCTGTTTTATTTATTTATTTATTTATTTATTTATTTATTTTTAAGATGGAGCATTCTTGCATCAAATTGGCCAATGTTGTACATCCCACTGATGTTTAATTGGATCAAGAGGATTTGGATGATTTTCACAAGCTCATACATATTATTTATCTATTCTAAACCATTTGGAGCTTTTAGCAGTAAACCAATTTAATTTTCCTGCTGAAAGGGGCAACATGGGAGAGATATCTCTGGCCAGTAACCATTTTGTGGAATTAGATATGTGAGAAAGTAAGATCCTTAAATGTAATCATGCTATGGCCCATTTGATTTAACACAAATAACCATAATCCTTAAGTTAAAGTCAAAACTATACACATCATTATGAAATATATTTTGAAACACATTTCTACTAATGCAGATCATTACAGAAAAAATGCAACTTGTGAGAAGTAAATTTATAAATTTACTGGACTCATCTAAGTCAAAATTTAAAACTGAATGTCAAAAAATTGTCCGATACTCCATATGCATATAAAATATGCGTTTATATCATTATGACTTAAATTATGTGACAAATATGTTGAAACTTGGTCTTAATTGTGCCTGATTGAACTTTAAAATACAAATTGGTTAATATTAATTTGTCATATAAAGGGTAGCCTACATGGCCGGGTGGATCTTTTTAATCTTTATTTCTGTTGCAGGCACACCTGAGCTGGAGCGTGCGTCTTAAGTAATTATTAAAGGATGGATTCCTTGAACACAGTTTCATCGGATATAGTCTGGACTCATTAACAAAACCATGGCAGTTAAAAATTAGATACTCACTGGAGGTCCGGGTTCACCACTTGGACCTGGTTGACCCTGCAGACAGGAGGAAAGAGAGAAGCAGCAGCAATTATACAGGATAGCATAAATCTTTCCTGTACAGTATGTATAAACATCATGTGTTTTATGATTAAAGTCAGCAACTTGAAGTCATTGTAAATGAAAGAAGACTTCAGTTTTAGTTTTTACATATCAAGACACAGTGAATATTCTGATCCTTACCAGATTTTAACAAGCGGTAAGCCAATGGACCCCAACACTGAGGGGTTAGAATACTGAATATCTGTAGTTTTCTAGACAAGTGTTTTTATGAGTAGGATTTTGACATGGTAATCCAGTTTTCATTGGATAACTTTTTACATCTAGATGCAGTCACATGCCAAATCGGAAGTCGGCACATTGCTTATTTTTCAAGTTATTTAACTCACAAGGCTTACACATAGTGTATATAACCAAGATGACACAGCTTCTACCATATAATACTTTTAGCTTAAAGTGTAAAAAAGGACTGGGTTATTGTCATTTTTTCTGTTTGCTAATGTTGATTAATTATGATGTCCATCTTGAATCAGGTTAACTCATGATGTTAACCAGTTGCTTTCCAAAGGATGTGGTCTTGACTCTGGCCTCATATGTTGGCTTGTGGAAGTTTTAAGTGTTCAGAACCAGCAGGTGAGAGTCAACGGGTTCTCTCTAATGTCCATTTGTCCTCTACCACTTCCTGTCAGGACTGCGTTCTTTTGCCCCTTGTATTTATTTTTACAGTATATAAGAACAATAGTCACAGCCAATACCCACAGCATCACATTTTAAAGTCTGCTGATGACTCTGTCATCCTGTCCCTTCTCAGTAGTCGTACTCGTAACCCAGACCTTGGGCCAGTGGTCGGGGACTTCAGTGAATAATTTGAGTCTTCCTTTTTAAAGTTAAATATTTCTAAGAAAAAGGACATGATCATTGATTTTAGAAAAGCTATTCCAGTTACCGCTCATGTGGGTATTAATGGTGAGGCGGTTGAGGTGGAACAACAATATAAATATCTGGAAAGTGTTCTTGATGACAAACTGACCTTTGAAACACATTTGAAATGACTTTGGAAGAAGGTCGACCAGAGAATGTATTTGTATTGGAAGCTCAGTGGTTTTAATGTTGAGTCTACTTTTATGAGAATGTTTTATTCGTGTTTTATCAAGTCTCTTAACTTTCACCTTCATCTGTTGGTTTGGATTGTTAAAATGTAAGAACAGGAACAAACACGCACTCCATGGAGAGATCAGGTTGCTTCCATCTGGATACAAGTATCTAATGCACAGATGTAGGACAGACAGACTGAAAAAAACTAATTTATATCTATAGCGATCAGGTTTCTCAATTGGGCCTGTCACGATAACAAATTTTGTCTCAGAAATTATTGTGATACACAATAATATTGTTTTGAAATTTGACAGTAATTAGTCATTTTTGTCAAATTTAAGAAGAAATGTTGGTTAATTTGTTTTGAATATAGTACATTTTTGACCACCGGACTGCAGTAAAAGACTGTTTGAACCAAAGGATGGATAGCGAGGGAGCTAGCAGAGTGTCTCTTTAAGAAAAATGGGAGGGAGGACCCTTGATATGACATGGGCAGTCTCTCCCACATGTCCCTCTTTTCTTTTTTTAGTTCTCAAAATGGCGGACGCTCTGTGTAGTTTGAGTTCTTTAGCATAGCATTTTCACACAAAGCTTTTAATAAAATATCAGTAAATAAGTTCTCAGCTTCTTTTTTGCAGAGAAAAAAAACAACTTTTTAGATGAAGGCACAGGTCTCAACCGTGAAAAAAAAAAAAAAAAAAGTGATATTCTACCCCCAGACTGCAGATACAGGTCTGTTTCATGCAGAAGGATTCTGAGAATGGTACATGACATAGATTGGCAAACTGGGGTCTCATTCACAATAATGAAAATGTTGTTCTGATCCAGCATTGTGAAGAAAGCAGAAAAGCAGACATCTCAATTTTCTATGTTCCAACCCTATAATGTGTGAATCCTGAGTGGAAGCACAAGATCCCAGAGACATGATGAAACAAGCTTATTCCATAGAGTGGCCAAGCTCAACTTTAAAGGAAAGTTGAGGAACTCCATCATCCAGGAAGCTCATAGTTTAGAGTCACTGCTCTTCTACATTGAGACCAGAATCACTTGAGGTGGTTAAGATATCTATTTAAGATAACTAATGGGTGCCTCATTTTGAAGAGCTTCAAGGCACAGGATCAGAGAGAAAACTCTGAACCACAGATAAATAAAATAAAATGAATGGATTGACTAGGGTTGGGCAGCACGGTGGCGCAACTGGTAGAGCTGCTGCCTCTCAGCGAACAGGTCCCTGGTTCAAACCCCGGTCCAGGGGCCTTCTGGGTGGAGTTTGCATGTTCTCTCCGTGCATGCGTGGGTTTTCTCCGGGTACTCCAGTTTCCTCCCACAGACCAAAAACATGCATGTTAGGCTAATTGGTAACTCTAAATTGTCCCTAGGTGTGAGTGAGAGAGTGAATGGTTGTTTGTCTCTATGTGGCCCTGTGATGGACTTGCGACCCATCCAGGGTGTACCCCGCCCCTCGCACAGTGATTGCTGGACATGGGCACCAGCGACCCCCGTGACCCAAAATGGAATAAACGGGTAAAGATAATGGATGGATAATGGATGACTAGGGTTGATTTTTTTTTTGTTTGTTTCAAATATTTTACAACACAGTTACTTGAAATAAGAATGATAACAAATTAAGTAAATAACTTGATCATAAATTAAGTTATCTAAACAAGGAGTCCAGTGCTATTAGTCAAAGCATCACTGAGTGAGGGCAGCATGGTGGCACAACTGGTAGAGCTGCTGCCTCTCAGCGAGCAGGTTAACCTGGTTTAAATCCCAGTTGGGGGGGGGGGGGGGGGGGCTTTCCGAGTACAGATTGCATGTTCTCTCTGTGCATGTATGGGTTTTCTCTAGGTACTCCAATTTCCTCCCACAGACCAAAAACATGCATGTTAGGCTGATTGGTAACTTTAAATTGTCTCTAGGTGTGAGTGAGAGTGAATGGCTGTTTGTCTTGTTTGTCTCTATGCGTCCCTGTGATGGACTGGAGACCCGTCCAGGGCGTCCCCCGCCTCTCGTACAGTGATGGCTGGACATGGGCACTAGTGACCCCCTTCGACCCAAAAAGGAAGAAGCGAGTAAAATATACCAGTAATGGATGGATCATTGAGTGAAAGTGAAGGGGGACATACAGTTCAAACCTCAAACTGTTAAACTATGGTGTACTCAGAGTAATCTGTTCAGGTTTAATCACTTGCCTTTGAGCCAGGCCTCCCAAGTGGACCGCGATCCCCCTTCGCTCCAATCAATCCCTAAAGACACACAAAAGGGCATAACAACAAACAGACATGCTTTACAGTGCATACGTTCTGAATGAATCCATTATTATTATCAGGTCTCTCTTGTAAATGAGTCCTCGAGGCTCAATGGGATTAACCTGTCTAAATAAAGGTTGAATGAAAATGTACAGTCCACTGGCTACATTTGACCTAACATAAAGAGGCTGGCAGATATTTGATTATAGCTGATGCTGTTCTCCTCAGTAATTGGGTGATTACTTGAGTGAGATTCCAGGGCGGATTACTGCCTAAATCTCTGAAGAATGTTTCTGTGTGTATGTGTGTATGTGTGTGTGTGTGTGTGTGTGTGGGGGGGGGGGGGACTTGTTAACATGTGATCATTTGGCAAAGACATTTAGTTTCCTGCTGATCAAGCTTGAAACAGCAATGTGCACTAACTTAATGCAGAAACAGTAACATTAATACTATCAGATAAAAAAATTACAATTAAAATTAAAATCATGTTGGATCCTGTAGTGTGTCTTTATCTCCATGATAGTGACACTAGTGGTGTAAAGTATGATGGATGTGTCCACCTTTCACTCGCTCAAGTACATTTAAAGGGACATTTATTCAAATGAACAATACATTAATAGTTAAAAGTTAGTTTACTATCAAATTAAACAAGTATGCAATTAAAATATCAGCATTACTCTCTGATAATACATCTCAAATGTTTAAGAATGAAAACAATATATTGCATATATGGATGCAAACTATAACTTACAGAATAGTTTTGTTTAAAGCATCAGGACAGATATTTTAATATAAAACAAACAAACAAATACAAAAAACAGGTCTATCCTCCAGACAATGATTAAAGTTAATGGCTGGTGAGGGATACGTGCTTTTCTTTTATTATTATTATGTTGTTGTTTTTTTTGTGAATTGCAATGCATCTGAACATATCTATGAAAACCAATCACATTACATTTTGTGTGGATAAAGGTTGGCCATGACTCATCTGAGACAACAATCAGTTCACTCACATCAATGCCGTCCTTCCCCGGGCGTCCATCAGGACCCGGCTGTCCTGGCTCGCCTTTTTGTCCCTACAGTAAAACATACAGCAGAGTTATGACGAAAACTGTCCAGGTGAAGCTCAGGGTTATCATTATAATTATTATTATCTTTATTTCATCATTATAATCATCATGATTTATTTATTTATTTTTTTAGACAATCCAGTGGCTCAGTTGGTAGAGCTGCTGCCTCTCAGCGAAAACGTAGCTCATTCAAATCTCAGCCCGGGCCTGTTCTGGGTGGAGTTTGCATGTTCTCTCCGTGCATGGGTTTTCTCTGGTTTCCTCCCACAGACCAAAAACATGCATGTTAGGCTGATTGGTAACTCTAAATTGTTCCTAGATGTGAGTGAGAGAATGAATGGTTGTTTGTCTCGTTTGTCTCTATGTGACCCTGTGATTTGGAAAAGAAGAAGTGCGTAAAAGATGATGGATGGATGGATGGATGGTTGGATGGATGGATGGATGGATTTATTTATAAACAGAGCAATTAGAACTTACTGGTGGACCAGGTGATCCAAGTGGTCCTTTCTCCCCCTACAACGAGAGAAAAAGAAGGTTTAAAAAGAGTTTTGTTAACCCTGCTGCCATCCAATTATTTAAAATCTGGTCATTAATTTTAATGTTATTTAGTAATCGTGGAAACAAATTTAAATACAATTTAAATAAACAGTAATGAATTAATCTAACAAAGTTAAGTCAAATCCTCTGGACAAATGCAAAAATCAAATAAATAAAAAATAAAACTTGTTGAAAACGTTTCATATTTTATCCAAAGACAAAACGTTTCAACACGTTTTTTTAATTTTTTTATTTTGCATCTGTCCAGAGGACAGGACTTATCTTTGCTAGATTTTTCTACCTGGAGTATCAAACATGCATCAGGATAAAGTAATGAATGGAAATAATAAATTAAAATCAAACAAATAAAGAACAATAGGAATAAAATGGATGGCATTCAGATTATATTTATAAGCAGTTCTCATTGCAACACTGATGGTGTACTGATTTTGAAAGCACATGCACATATTAAGCAATGCAATCAATGTTTTAGGAACATGTGCAGTATAGCAAGAAGAATGCCTCTTTAAAAAAAAAAAACACCTGTGACCTTTCTGTGTGGAATTTGCATGTTGTCCCCGTGCATGTACGTGTTTTCTCCCGGTACTTCAACTCACTGATCAGACGGATGCTTGTTAGGTTATTTGGCAATGCTAAACGGTCAGTGGGTGTGAGTGAGAACAGGACTGCCTCTATCTGGACCAGGGGTCTGCAATCTGCGGCTCTGGAGCCACATGTGGCTCTTTGGTTCCTCTGCTGTGGCTCTTTCAAGCTTTGACCAAAACTGACATAAAACTGAATTTTATTGGTTCTACAAACAACAAAAAAGGACTAGTTCAAACAGTTTTCCTGCCATTTCTTTTGCAAATATGTGAATACTGCCCAAGCACAAGAAGAAACTTCTTCACAAAAATCAGATATTTTACTTTAATAAATGTTCAAAATCATTAGATATTTTTTCGCTTTATAATGTCACCCCCCTACTGGCCACAAAAACACCTCCAGCAAACCTAAAGTGGCTGGTGGGCCACCAGTTCATAACCACAGTTGTAGCAGGTTGTTGTGGCTCCGGACACATTTAATGTAGTGAACAAAGGCATAAAAAAGTCTCTTTTGATTGTACAGGTTGCAGAACCCTGATCTGGACTAACAACATATACATGGTGCACCGCAACAAGCCAATAAATAAGTACATATTAATAATTAACAGCAACAGTTTATTGCAGGGTCAACTTCTTTCAGTTCTTGCATTGAAAACAAACAACAAATCTATTAAAAAAAAAAAATATATAAACACTTGATTTTAGACTGAGCATCTAAAACGTGTTTCTCCACACTACCAGGACATTTTCTGCTCTAACATCACAGCAGACTCTACTTCCAACACATTCATGCAGCCTTCCTGTAAATCACCCCTAAAATAACTCAAGTGTATGTATCAAATTACTGTGGCACAAACTCTACGCTCAGCTAAGGGTCTCTATCAAAAGACCCCATCTCATGCCTGGAACAGAGCTCTTTTGTGCCCCTATGTTTTCAAAATTGTCGCCATCTGCTGGTAAGACTGTAGTACTACAGGCCTACACTGGGTTTACACAATGAGGAGCTTTGTGTTGGGGGGAGAAACTTGCTGGGCAAACCTGTGCAGGATACTCACATCAATGCCATCTGATCCAGGAGTACCAGAAGGGCCTGTTGGTCCCGGTGGGCCTGTAGGTCCGGGTGGACCCCTCTGAAAGACATATTTACAAAATAAATAAAAAAAAATCATCCCATCACAATGATGGCAACTGTATTTATACACAGACAAATTGCCATAAACTGTGCATATTGAGGGACCTGTTATACAAATTGTGTATAACGTAGGTTCACATTTACAGAAACAACTTTCATAGTGAAAATTACTATTTATCCAATTGTTAAATATGTAAAACAATCTTAGAACGAGGATGATGTGCAGTAAAACTAGTAGATATTCATACAAGCTCTAAAGAGGTGAACACAGAGGCTGACTCCAAACAAAATTAGTCATTGTTGACTACATGGAGACAGGAGTGAAGGTACTGAGGAGGAATGTGGAACGGAGGGGTCATGGGACTGGCTGTGTTTACCCCACCTCCCCCACCTCACCCTGACTGGTCTTTCATCTCTATTGAAAATCATCTTGGTGCATCTGTAGGTTTGCCACACAAAAAAAAAAGCTTTTGGCCCAATAAAATAATAATCCATGAAAACGTCCACAAGATGACATCAAGGTGTTAACATCAACACTGGAATTTCACATTGAACAAATCTGCATTGCTGTTGGTCCATCCTGATGTTTACCCTTGCTGGATGCTAACTATGCTTCAAAACTGAGAAAACAATTAAAAAAAAAAGAAGTTTTTATCCTTTTTAGAAATAATAGTCCCAGAGGAGGAACACCGACAAGAACATAAGCCATGTCTGTTTCGATCTTTGTGCACCCCCAAATCGAAAACAAAAATAAAATACATTTAAAGAAGAGTCCACCGATACTGACACTGATAATCCACACAAGATGGTCCAGTTGTCTTTAAATCCACATCCACCCCCAAAAAAGGGGAAAAAAGTCTTAAATCTCTTCTTTTCTGTCACATTCACAGTAATAAATCCAGATGATCAACTATTTACAGATCTGTGTTTCAAGACATTTATAACCATTATTTCTACAAAGACACTACACAATTTAAATAATTATTTTAAGTTGTCCTAATACTGCGGGCACATTCTTGAGACATTTATTCCTCAAACCCGTGAACTAGGGAGACAAATCCGAGCTGAGCAGGTCTAAACCTCTTCCGTCCACTCACCACTTGAGCCAGAGCCAGGCACAAGATCTGCAGTGTGACCCAGGTCTTCAGCAAGCCAGAGAGAGCAGCCATGGTCCCTCACCCCTCAGATCGGCAATATCCTCTCTTCTAGCTCCCCTTCTTTCCTCTCCAGGCCGGCACAGTGCAGAGGAAGAAAGAAAAAAAAAATCTTTCAGGAGGTGAGAGCCGAGAGGGGAGAGGGATGGATGGATGAGGAGGGTGGAGAAGGAGTGGAGGGGGAAGGCAGGGAGAGAGGGGCAATCCTGCCCCCGCTGCAGGCCTCTAAAAGCAGAAGAGACATCTCTTTATGGGTTGAAGAACATAAAGATCTATTTATGTTCACAGTGCATGCCTGCAGAATATATTAAATATCACATTTACCTTTAATATATAGTCAGAGCAAGAACAAAGTCAAACATATTTATTAATTTAAGAAACAACTGATTTAATGTTGATGGTACGCTGTATGACGCTTTCACTCTTTTTAATAATCAAACATCTTTGAATGGTGAAGAAG